CCTTTTTCATTCATCTAGAACCTCACCTAACCTCCACAAGTTCTCAAAAAAGACAGCTCTGAAATTTCCTTAGAAATTCCCTTTACTACCTAGGGTGCATCCCATCTGGCCCTGCTGACTTGAAAGCATCTAGGTTCTCTAAGTAATCCCTAACTTGTTCTCAGGGCCATCCAGCGGGGGACAAATTAGGGCAGCCACCCCGGGCCCCATGCTTTGGGTGGCTCTACAGAGACAGGCAGAGAGGCCACGGCTGCAAGTTAGCCCTCCTCCCTCCACACTCAGTGGGCTGGACGGGTCTTTCCCTGTTCTAGCCAGAAGTCCCGGCCACCACCCATCCCATCGCATCCGGTGTGCTGGGGCTTTCACTCCCTGGCGTAAGTGTGCCGCAGGATGAGGAGGGGAGCCCCGCACAGGCTGCTTTGCCCTGGGTCCCTCACCCTGCTGGGATCATCTCTTCCTGTTCTTCTACTACTTTAATCTGTTTGTCTCCTTCCCTCACTTTTCTGGCAATTGCAATCATCATCTGATAGCTGCCTCTATTTCTGAGGACTGAAATATAAAGACATTAAATACTTCATCTTTCTCTGTATCATCAGGGGCTTGGTGAGCAACTGTTCACCAGGGGACCCAAGGGGAAAATCAAGAGTAATGGCCACAAACTCCTGGAAGACTGATTCAGGCTCAACGTTAGGAAAAACTTCTTCACGGCCAGGGTGTTCAGACTATAGAATAAGCTCTCTCTAGAGGTGGTGCAATCACCTACCCTGGAAATCTTCAAGAGGAGACTAGACAGTCACCATGCTGGGGTCACCTGACCCCCACTTATCTTTCCTGCTTGGTGCAGGGAGCTGGATCCAATGATGTTCCGAGGTCCCTTCCAGCCCAACACCTATGAATCTGTAACTAGACTGCCTTCTGGATTCCATAAGGGACCTATGGTATCTCTGGTCTTCCTCTTCCTCTTGACATACATGTATAATCCCTTTCTATTGCCTTTTATATAGCCTTTTATACTTGCATTTTAAATCATGCCATTTTCTCCGTGCATTCCCATATACTCTTACATTTTTTCCCTAGTACTGTGACCAGGTTTCAACTTTTTATAGGATTCTTTTTTGAGTTTCATCTCATTAAAGAGATTGCTGCCTAGCCTGGTTGGCCTCTTGTTGCACTTCCCTTTTTTTCTGTCATTCTGGGATAGCTTACTCCTGCACCCTTAAAAAAGCCTCTTTAAAGTACAGAAAGCTCTCCTGGACTGTTTCAGACTTGCTTTCCAGGAAATCTTGCTTACTAGTTCAACAAGTTTGTTAGTCTGCTTTTCTGAAGTCCAGTGTCTTTATTCAGCAGCTCTCCTTCCCTCCTCCCCTTAAGTAGGCAAGGTTCCTTGGGTAGGTTTGATATTTTTATTAGATCAAATAAATAATTGGAAAAATGTTCTTTGCAAGCTTTTGGGCACGAACACTCTTCTTCAGGCATAGGGAGACTTTGCTGGCGTTTTGAATTCTCCAAGGAAGAAAATAAGCCAATTTGGAGTTTTTTGTTTTGTTTTGGGGGCAGGGGTTGTGTGTGTGTGTGTGTGTGT